ATTAAATTGGTTAATAAATCAATGGGCCTAATTGCCTCATATTAGTGACCATTAAATCTTCTAAATCTATCATGTTATATGTACCAAAGACTGAACTTCTATTTTCAAAGTATAAATAAAAAAAAGAAAAAGGTACTTCACAACAACATATAAATCATGGTATAATGTAATAGTTTTATCAAAGTGGTGGGGTATTTTCGATTGGAGACATTTTTTTTCAGAAACTTACAAAAATGTACATGAGTTTAAAATATACTAAAAAGCCTAAAAAAGATAGCTAATTTGTGTTAAATTTTGCATAATATAAATAAAATACGTAAATGTGACTCTTGGGTGTATTACTCAAGAGGTCTTGATTTTGAGTCTCTGTTTGGGTACTAGTAAGGGTAGTCATTAGAGTTTTTATCCGGTCGATAGTTTAAGGTCTTAAGAGATTAGTTGAGATATGTGTAAGTTGGTTTGGATATCCTGGTCATAAAAAAAAAAAAATAATAATAATAATAATAATTAAGGGAAATATTATGAATACATTGTTGGATATTTTTCCTTCAATTTGATATTAATTTACTTTTTTCTTTTTTCTTTTTTCTTTTTTCTTTTTTAAGATTTTTCAATCTAAGTTTCAAGTGTCCCAATCATTTTCAGAAAGTTAATATTCTTATGATAATTTTAAGGAGTTTTCTGATAATTTCAAGAGTATTAAATACTTTTTTGAAAAAATTCATTTCTAAATTTTATTGATGAGTGTACTTAAAAGTTAAAAGTATCTAAAAGCTGTTATATATTAACATTACATTAGATTATAATAATTATATTAAAAAAAAAAATCTATTTTTGGGTTGACCTCGTATATTTTTATTTATTTCTCATTTATTGTAATAACCAATATGATGGGTGTTTAAAACTACAGTAAACATGTTTTGACAAACTTCAAAAATATTCTCAGTTCGTTTAGTAATTTTTATAAGCCTTGGTCCAATTAATCTTACAAATCAAAATGTAAACTAAAAAAATGGTTAAGTTGTTTGTAATACCCGTAGGTGCTCAAGCGGGGCAAATAGAGGTGGCTACTGGAAGGTATATCCAGCTGTTAATTTTAGAGTCCTAAAAGATTATTCGAAGTACGCGTAAATTGACCTAATCATCATCGGTCGCAAAAAAAATAAAAAAATAATAATAAAAAAATAAAAAAAATTCAAACGGGTAATGTGTATTTCTAATAGCATAATTTTCTACAATTGTATTGTATTAGGTAAAGCTATTTGTACAAATTGACGTGGCATACTATGTGAGTGTCACATGGCATGAGAACTCACATGATATTAATGTGATATTAAGTTACATGGACCCCAATAGGACATAACATGCTTTGTGATGTATCACATCACTTTGTACAAACTCTGTTTCTGTTATATATTATAAATAAAGATTGTCATACTATAACTTAAATTTATTGACTTAATTTTTTGAACAATTAATGAGTTTAATTCAACAGTGTTAATGAATAAGCTATGGATAATTATTTTAAATGCCAAATTGACATCCATTTGCTAATGCAAAAAATGCATATTTTAAAATTAAAAAAGGAGTGATTTTACCATTTGCTATAACATTTTCGTTGTTTCAATGGCATTTTCCTATTCGACCATTTAAACTAGGAGAAATGGATTGTGCCCAGGCTTGTTCTATGAAAGAGTGTTTACATTATTATTATTAATTTTTTAAATATGGATGTTAGATTTAAAGGTAAAGATTATTAAAGCTATAGCATATTATTTCAACTAATATCTTAACAAAGAGCAATAATACAATAACATTATTGAGCCAACTTTATAGTATAGTACAACCCTTCAATTAATGTCCTTTTGAAGAGCATTATCACAATCAGGCTGCCCAATCTATAACATTATCGATTTGACTTAATCTTTGTATTAAAATTTAAAAATATAATATTTTTTTTTTATTTTTTATTTTATTTTAAGAATTAAAGTGGAAACCCCTTATGAATCCCTAATATACAATGAATCCCTTGAAGTATCTACTTAATAGCCTTAACCTCCCTACCGTTGGTAACTATTGATAATATTCATTGTCATTAGTGAGATTAGTTACATTTACTTAATCACGTTAATAGACTATTAATTATATACTTCAAAAGATTTATTAAGAGGGTCTTTCATAATTTTGTAAAAAGTGTTTGATATTTTTAAAGGGATTTTTTATATTTTTTAAGAAGATTTTTTATAATAAAATAAAACTTTTAATATTTTTATATAAAATAGATGAGTTTAATACTAAACGTTCTGGTGAGGAAAATGAAATAACCAGAGACCAAAAGAGATTTGTTTAAATGAAATTACCCCTTTTGTTAAATTAAAAGTAAATGTTTGTCTACCCAGTTTATTGGTACTGTTGTTTTTCCAAATAAAAGAATGAAAAAAACATTTTCCTTCATTAAGTTTGGAATAGCTTGGCTCCAGAAAATTCAAAAAGTGATGCTATCATCCCTTTAATAAATTGACGTATATTATCTCCCACCAAATAGGGTAAAAGACATTTTTGTCTTTTACATAAAATAAACACTATAACATTACAAAATAGTAAAACTGCCCCCACAAGTCATCACTATTGATTTCATTTTCTCACCCTTAAATTAACATAAAATTGTTTTATATAACTATCAAGAGATAAAGTGGTCATTTGCATTGCATTAAATTTGAAATGAAAATAAAAATTTAAAAGTAACCTCCACATCTCAAATTTCTCTCACAAGCACCCTCCGGCCCGACTTTTTCCTGATTGTGGGACTCTCATCTCAATCTCGATCTGCCCTGATTCCGGCGTCGTTGGCCTCCCTCGACACCACTACTAGCATCCCCGTCCTCCCTACACCAAAACCCCCATGATTTCCACCTGATTTCTCCCACCAATTGCTAGTTGTCGCTAGTTTAGTGTTTTGTCATTTCAAGCTGGATTCCAACTGATTCCGATGGCCAAAATCTCACTCGTCACCACCTCTAGCATCATTGGGCCTCCCTCATCAAAACCCTCATCAACCCAACGTTTGGTAGCTCGCCGAATGTCGTCTGCCACATGCAACTCTAGTGTGCGACATCGCGGCCCGTGCTCCCAAATGGTGCCGTTGTGCGACTTCTTCGTTTCCCTACCTTTTTCGCGTCATCTGACACTTGCCACTCCTAGTCTCCTTTACGCCGCTGCTGTCGTTGGCTTTGTGGTGCCGATTATGACGGCTAGGGTTTGCCCAGCTCATAGAGGAGTGATAGGCAGGCTTCCATCTTCCAATGAGGTTTTTGATATTTAGCTGCCCAATCAAAAGTAAAAGGTTTAAAGGCAATTTGGTAAAAGCACTCTCTATACTGTGTCAAAACCCAAAAATAACTAACATTGTTAATTTAAGGGTAAAAATTTAGAATTTATGAAACCAAGGGTGGGAACTTGCTATTTCAAATAAAAATTAGAGACAACAATCCCAATGTACTAACAACCAACTATCGTCACTCTTTTGTGGAGCGGCTATGAGGGGTGCGGTGACAAGTTGAACCAAGTGATTTGATAAGGTGGAGTATAATGGTGAAGAGATACTAGTATCTAATTTTTTTTTTTTTTTTAATTATTTCATGTTTCAAATTTTAGTTTTATAGAAAGAAAAAGTTCCATTATATTAAAATAGAAAAAGGGTATTATAGTATTTTCAGGTTGCGTTTGGTTCGGGGTGATATAAGATTAATCCTGTAATCTTTGTTTAATTTTTAAGATTCTCTCATTTGGTTGTCAAGTAATAAAATATTACGTAATCTTTTATTGCAAATAATATTTATTGTTGGTAATATTGGGGGTAATCAGATTACATTCCCAAGGGGTGTTAATATAAGATTACCGAGATAATCTTAATTTTGACCCTATCTTGCCCTTAACCTTTTATCATTTTGGGCACATTTACCCTTATATGTCTACCAAATAACAACTAGCCTAAACTTCCTACATTTGAGAATTTACCTAAAACACCCTAGTTACAAAAAAGTTTAAAAGTTAACAAAATACCCCTAACCACCCAAGACCACCGCCTGCCGCTAGCCACCACCGTTGGCCGCAGGTGAAAGTCATCATATCAGCACAAGACCGACAGGATCTTGTCGGTCCTGTGCCGATAAGGATGTTTTCGGCCATGGATTTGTGATCCATGGCTGGAAACAACCATATCTGACTATTTCAAGGCCAAAGATGTGGTCGTGAAATGCCATAGATCTGGCTGTAAAACGCCATAGATTTGGTTGTGAAAAGGCCAGATCTTTGGTCGTGAAATGGCCGCCGTTTCATGTTCACGGCTAGATGTAGCCGTTTTTTTGCCATGGATCTGTCGGATTAGGCCTTACTGACACACGACCAGTCAGATCCGATCGATTGTGCGCCATTACGGCGGCTACCGGTAGTGGCTTGGGGTGGATGGGGGTGATTTTGCTATAAATTAAAGTTTTATATGGTTTGGGTGTTTTAGCAAAATTTCAAATATAGGGGGTTAAAAGAATGATTTAAAAAATAATAAAATAAAATATTATTATATTATTATTTAAACAAGAAGGCAATTTAGTAATCCATATAACATACCCACTCATTTCTCCTCCCAACCAAATATATTATTATAATATATCCATCAATTTATTCTAACAGGCTAAACACACTCCTCTAAAGATTCTCTGGTAATCTATCTTTCCAGTAATACAATATTTCTTATTAATATAACATTTTCTGTACCAAACGCACTCTCAAAGTAAAGATTGAGTCCAAAACCAACAGGGATGACAATGTTATTTTCAGAATCTAGAGGACATACATATTTTTCTGAAATTGTAACGGTACATTACGTCAACATGTCCGCTCGTGTGTCCCACAACATAAAGAGCACTTTGATTTGCGTTTGCAACTGCATAGGTATCAACATGTCATTGGACACCTTCACTCTTTACAACATCATAAACCTAATTTTTATTATCAATTTGATGTTCATTTCTTTCAAATTTCAATTCCCCAGCTCAAAATGTAACTCAAAATATCCTCTTTTGCTGTAATTCACTCACTCACTAACCCTTTTGACATTCTCAAGAAATTCAGCAATTTCTTGATTTTCCTCTCATTTAACGGAAGGGGAAAGATGAATAAGGATGTTGATGAGGATGGGAGGTGCAGGAGAAGAGGCACACCGAAATGGAGGTGTGGTGAAAGAGCTTTGAAGGGCGAGCGCTATTGTGAGAAGCACTTTGCGTATATTGAGCAGTGGAAGGAGAAAATGAGGTTGAGGAAGAGGAGGAGTGAAAATGGGAGTGGAAGTGAAGTGGGTTTGGAGGGAAAGAAGCAAAAGAAGGAGGAGGAGGATGGGACTGAAGAAGAGAGTGCTGTGAAAAATGATGGTGATTTGAGTGTGGGAAATGAGTGTTTGGGTTTTGGTGGTGATGAAATTCAAGGGTTGTTTGGGGATGAAGCTGATAGTGCTCTGTGTTGGTTTGGGGAAGAAGGGAATGGTGGCCAAAGTTTGGAGCTTTTTGCTGGTGATGAGGTAAATCAGGGGAATGGAGTGTGTTTGGGTGAAGCTTCATGTAGATTTGCTGGTGGTGGCGAGGTTCTTGGTGGGAATGGTGAAGAAATTGGTGCAAGTAATAATGATGACCAACTTGATATCAAGGGCTTTGAGTCATGTGAGGATGAAGCTGAAATTGGTGGTGGGGGTTTTGATTGTAAGATGATTGAGGGCTTGTTTGATGAAGTGAGTGGTGGTATTGAGGGTTTTGGGTCTGGTGATAAAGAAATTGAGAGTCTTTTTACTGAAGTGAATGGTGGTGATGATGGAAATCTGGGTATGAATTTGTTTAATGAAGGGTTTGGTTTTGGAAGTCAGTGTTGGTGTGGGAAACCTGCATGTGTTAGTCTTGATGGTGTTGGAATTCAGGGCCTGTTTGGTGAATTATCATTTGGAAATGGAGGTGAAACTCCTTGCATAGAAGAAACTCAAGATGGGTGTCAACCTGTAAATGGAGTTGCAAATGGTGCTGAGAATGAAATGCTAAAGATAAAGCAAAAGCGTGGTCGGCCTAAGGGTTCTAAAAACAAGACTAAAGTTCCTGCTGCTCAAGAATGTATTGAAGGGGTGAGTAAAGCTGATGGTGATCCTAAGAGTGATGAGCTCGTGAGCCCGAAGAAGAAACTTGGTCGGCCAATTGGCTCAAAGAATAAGATAAAAAAAATTCTTGAAGGTCAAAATCAAGAAATGCCTGATCAAATTTTGAGTGGTAATAATGGTGGTGATAAAATTGATATGACACCAAAGAATGAGGGGAACAATGTTGGAGTTGTAGAAGTTAAGGTTATGACAGGTGAAGTCACTGTTGTTAATGAAGGTAGTCATGTGATTGTCCAGACAATGCCTACGGCTCCGCGTGGCCGGCCAAGGGGTTCCAAGAATAAGAAAATGATATTTTCAGGTGAAGATCTGGGAATGCTTAGTGAAATCATCGGCAGTAATGGTGGTGAAGAAGATAGGGGAAAGCATTATGAAGCAGAGGGTTCCAAGAATCAGAAGCAAGATCTTGTTGATAGTAATCTAGAAATGCCTGCTGAGGATAAGAAGAAAATTATTGGTGTTGAAGAAATTATTGAGCAGCCTTCCAGAGGGGATGAGATTGTGCAGTCAAAGAATAAGAGAGGAAGGCCGAAGGGCTCAAAAACCAAGAAAAAAAGCTCCACAGGTGAAGAAAGTCACAGAGTGAATGATTGTAGGGATGAGAGGCAAAATGGTAAGCGAGGCCGACCAAAGGGTGCTAAGAATAAGAGAACACTTCTTTTTGGCGAAGCTTTGAATAAGATTTTAGTGCAGAATAATCAAAAGCAGATGCCTCTTGTTAAGATAGAAGACAAAAAAGAAAAAGATTTGAAAATGGAGACGGATGTTCTGATTGGAGATGGAGCGGATGTCAACCATTTGGAAACAAAATCATTGATGTTAACTAATGATTCTGGCAATGCTCAAAAGCGGCCCAGAGGAAGGCCAAGGAAGGTCTGCAACCAATCAGAAAACTCGGAATCAATAGTGAGTTCTTCAAATTCATCGTTTCTTATAGTTCCATTGTGCTTTTGTACAGTCTATTGATATTCACTTATTACTACTAAAATTTATTGAGGTTAGGTCAGTTATTGCTGTTGGCAAATTATGTTTACAAATGAATTTAGCTTAAAAGAACATGGTAGACCTGATACTTAGCGTTCTAAATGACTTATTCGCTATGTAAATCTATTCTGGTCCTTGGTTTGTCAATCATGCAATTTAATCTTCTAAAACTTAGTATGCAACATTTTTCCTAGGACAGAATACTTTGAAATTAGCAACTACATGTTGTGATAACTTTATATTCCTAATTTGAAAAAAATTTAATGTGTTAAGGAGTTCTATTGTGTAGATGTAAAGAGGAAAAATACAGAAGTATGCTTGCTCTATTTACTTTAATGTATAAGACGGACTATCTGTGCAATTATATTGTCATGTTGTAATGCTTCTAATTTTCATTTGTAAACCATTCTGCTGGGGTTCTGCGTTAGGCTGCTGGGAGCTGCAACATGGAGCTGAGAAGTTTGATGTGCCACCAATGTTTGAGGAGTGATAGAAATGGTGTTGTCATTTGTTCCAGTTGCAAAAGGAAACGCTATTGCTATCAGTGTGTTGCAAAATGGTAATGAGATCTTACAAAGCCATGTTACTAATGAAAAAGTACAATTAAAAAATTCTGAGACAGTAGATTTAATTGATTTTCACAAAAATGTACCTTGCTTTTATGCAAACCATTAATGAGATCTTAAAAAATCTGTTTTGCCATGCTGAGTGCAGTTCATCAACCCTGACTTTTGTTAGTAGACTTATTGATTTATCATGAAAGTTTTTCCTACTTCTTCCTGCCAGAATAATAGTATTAATTTCAACTTCTCAACAAAGTTAAAAGTAGGAAAATCAAAACTGTTTTATTTGATGTTGATTTATGTTATTTTGCTGATTTATTGTGCAACTCCTGATAGTGTCTTTAAAGAACTAAATTAGGTACCCTGAGAAAACAAGAGAGGACATAGAGCTTGCATGTCCGTTTTGCCGGGGAAATTGCAATTGCAGAGTGTGCCTTAAGGAAGATTTGGCAGTGGTGGTGTGTGCCTTCTGATCTTTTTGTTTATTTTTCTGTTTACTTTGGTGTAGTTTGAGTGCAGTTCTTATTAATGCCTAGTACGTTGAATGGTTTTTTGACAGGCTGAATGCAAAGAAGCCGATACAAATGTCGAATTGGAAAGGTTGCTATACTTGTTAAATAAAACTCTGCCTCTCCTGAGGCACATCCAACAGGAGCAGAGCATTGAATTGGGAATAGAAGCCAAAATTCGTGGTATTATAATTGTATGAGATTACTGTGTAAAAGTTTTTGCAAGATAGATGTTTCAAAATGCTTAAATGTGGTTTTTCTTCTGCCTGTTTCATAGGCATGCGATTGACAGAGGACGACATAATGAGATCGATTCTGGACGATGATGACAGGGTATATTGGTATCATCTCATGCTCCCTGATGTTCATTAATACCTGGTATCTTCAGTCTATATTTTTTCTTTAGTAAGTTTATAATCATTGGAAAAATATGGTATCCAAGCGGAAACAACATTTTGTCTCCCTGATACTGTGTCAATATGAGTGGACATGGATCTGCCATGTCCTATGAGGTTCATGCTTTGACACTAAAAGAAACTAGTGACCTTTTGACCTTTTTGAATCTATGCAAAATCAGGAATGAAACTGTATTTGAGAGCCTTTAATATCTGTTAATTAGGAAAAAAGAAAAAAAGAATTCAGAAGAAATGTGTTTTGGGTAATGCATCAAAATTATCCCATCTTCATGCTCTGTCTACTTTGTGCATACTCTTTAGTGCCTATAATAATTTTTTTTTTTTCCCTCAGATGCATTTTGGTTTTTTGGGAAAAGAAACCTTGGTTGAAATTGATCTCTATATTTTTAAATATTGTGCAGAAACATATTATTGATTGTCGAAGATTGGATTTGAGTCATAGGACTGTTGACCATTGTTGAATGTTCTTACTTTCTGTTCTCATGCTGGCATATGCCCCTTTCTGTATCCCTTAGGATTGTGTGGCATTGTCTAATCTTAGTGCATATATTTGTGAATCTAAACTAGAAACACACTGGAAAATAGTGCAGACTTCTAAGAGATTTCTTTATTCATTAGTAGTTCTTTTAACCTAGGGACATATTCATGCATCAATAGGAGATTGGATGCTAGGGGTAGGTTCATCCATTGCTGTTGATATGCTTTCTCTTCTGATGCTGACAGCTGTGCCCATTTCTTTCTTGAATGGTTGTACTGTGAGTTCAAGATACCCTAATTCATAATTCTTTATATATAGTGGTTTAAATTATATGTATAATGGTAAAAGTTTTAACCATGAATCTTTTCTTATTCAACAGTGACAATTGCAGCACGTCTATTGTTAATTTCCACAGAAGCTGCCCCAATCCTGATTGTTCTTATGATCTCTGCCTCACTTGCTGTGGAGAAATAAGGAAAGGTTTTCAACAGGGACATATTGAAGAAGAACTTTCTGAAAAGCAGTTAGCCGAAAAAGCAAATGGTCAGGTTACAGATTTTGACAGCCAGATTTCTGCAGACAAGATAGCTAAGACGTCATGCAACTTTCCTGATTGGAGAGCTGAGGCTGATGGTAGAATTCCTTGTCCTCCCAAAGCACATGGAGGTTGTGGTACTCAGATACTTGCACTAAGACACATCTTTGATGCTAATTATATTGAAAAACTGATTAAGACTGCGGAGGACCTGACTATCAATTATAAGCCACTGGATATTGTTTCTCAAGGATGTTCTTTGTGCAATCATGTATATTCTGCTGAAGATGGAGTAAAAACTTTTGAAGTTAGGCAGGCAGCTTATAGGGACAACAGTCAGGATAATTATCTATACTGCCCAAATGGTACTCTATTGGGAAACAATGAAATCGAGCATTTTCAAATGCATTGGATGAGAGGTGAACCTGTGATAGTTACAAATGTGCTTGAAAAGACTTCTGGTCTTAGTTGGGACCCAATGGTCATGTGGAGGGCTTTTCGAGGGGCAGAAAAGATTTTAAAAGAGGAGGCTCATAAGGTTAAAGCCGTTGATTGTTTTGATTGGTGTGAGGTATGTGTTCATGTTTTTTACACCTTTCTGTAGTTGCTGATATGTTCATCTAGAGGCATACCTCCTCACTGGCCCAGTAAAGTATCATACTCAGTTCCTCTCTCATTACTTGTTACTTTTTCCTTTTTAATGGTAATTAGTTTTGTAAGCTTTAAATCTGCTCTGTATTTTTACTTTCATACTGTTATGTGCCTTCATATGCCCATTGCTTCACTCTAAACCAAAATCACAAGCTTCTCAATAAAAAACGAGCATTTAACTTAAATTCTTGACTTGAAGAGTTGACATAAATTCTCAACCATGCATTCTATTTGATCTAATGGTTGAGATAATAAAGTCAGAGTGGTTTAATGTTGCCAACTCAATATATTTCTGCACCTTTGGGTTAAGGCTGATTAATGGTTGGAAATTTATGTCAACTACAAAAGATCCTGACTGTCTCTATATATATATAGAGCCTTTCAATGTTAGATCTGTTTCGTGGATCTTTCACGTCTGTGTCTTCCTTATGTTAGACATATTTTAATAGTGATCTTGCATGAGTAGGGTGTTAAGGTATCTCGCAACAAATTTTTGGTTTGATAGTGTTTGCTTGTTGGTTGCCATCAGTTCTTAAGATTTTAAGCACTTTTCTGGCTGGCAGTAGGCTCCAATTTTCAGCTATGATCTAAGTAATGCATTTCCTCTTGATGATACAGGTTGAAATCAATATTTTCCAGTTCTTTAAGGGCTACTTAGAAGGTCGAAGATATAGGAATGGTTGGCCAGAAATGTTGAAGTTGAAAGATTGGCCTGCATCAAATTCATTTGAAGAGTGTTTGCCAAGGCATGGTGCTGAATTTATGGCTATGCTTCCATTTGCTGATTATACCCATCCAAAATCTGGTGTTCTGAATCTTGCTACAAAGCTTCCTTCTGTTCTGAAGCCAGACTTGGGACCCAAAACATACATTGCTTATGGGTCTTTAGAAGAACTTGGTAGGGGTGATTCAGTGACAAAACTACATTGTGATATTTCTGATGCGGTGAGCTATTTTGTCTATAAATTAGCAAATTGTTTTCAGTTTATGTTGTTCTGCTTTTCACAATTGCTCTGAATCTCTACATGCTATAATTTCATCCTGTACTGACCTCTAGCATCAGTAATTTATTGAAAATTTGACTTCTAAAACACTATTCTAAATTTTAATTATGTATTCTTGATCAGACTTAAATGTCCTAAAATTTGCTTTTAGTCACATTGCATTTAGAAATGTTTGTATAACAGAGGGTCCAAGTTCAAACAACTTTGAGAATCTGGTGTTATTGCTTATGAATGGGCTAAAAGTGGTATATGACTTCATATTGTGCTTAAAGGGGCGCACCACCAAGGTCTTGTTCCATGGTGAGGGATTACTGTAACAGCACCTTCCAATGTCCCAAGGTAGATTTCTCTGTATGAGAAGACACTTGCTCTAATGAGCCATGTTGAGATAAAAGAAATGTTCCTTGTCATAGCAAGAGGCCATGGGAAGACAGGTTCTATAAAACATTTTTTTCCCCAGTTTTATGTAGATTTCTTCCTAAAAGAAGTGTTCGATGGATAGGAAAAGTCACGAATGCCTTATACCACTAGAATAAGAGCCTAAACCCTAGAAACACTAGAAGGATAGAAAGAAAAATTGGATTATTCTTCTAGAAGGTGGCCTTCATTGAGAAAGAGAGAATCATAGAGAGTTGTGTTGAGTGAAAATTATAGATTCTCCACCACCAAGGGTTATTGAATTCACAATAAGTTAGGTATTTTCTCATACTTTGTACCTGTTGATCTACAGTGAAGAAACTTTGTTAAATTGGTGCCATTTACGTAACCAAAAACTAGGAGATGCGACGGACTTAGTTGCCGGAAGAAGAAACGTGAACAGACAACAGAGAAGAGTTTGCCGGACGAAGTAACACAGCCAGACAGTAGAAAACAGAAGAAACAATGTCGCCGTGAACAATGTCGTCAGCCACTAGAACAAAACCCTAAGACTGGTGCTCTGATACCATGTTATAAAATATTCTGCATACTCTCATTGATTAAATTTTAAAATAATGCACCCTAATATACATATTTACGCTACATTACAATTACACATATACCCTTAACTATATATATAACTTCTATCAAATTTGATAGAATTAGTTTAATAGGTGTTCCTCAGATCGGCCGATGAGAGAATTCAAACATGTACCCCTGTAATCCTAAGAAAAGACACCTTTCCTTTCTCTTTGTGCTCTATTTTTCTCACTATATATATGTTAGTGCTTAAATAATGATGTTGAACCTTTACCTAGTAACTTTAGTTTTTAAGTCAAATGAGCCTTTAACATAGTATCAGATCAAAGTTGACCAAGTGTACTTGTATTTTCCATATAGGTCAATATACTGACTCACACAGCTGAAGTGAAAATTCCCCAATGGCAAAAGAAAATCATAAAAAAGATACAGAAGAAATACAATGATGAAGATCTGTGCAAGCTTTATGGTACGGTAAAAAAGGCATCAGGTAAAGTTGGAAGGAAGCGGCCAAAAAAACAGAAGTCAAATACAAATTTGAATGAACAAACTGGATCTTGCAAATGCATACATTTTCAGAAGAGAGATTTCTCCTCAGATGAGAAATCTTCTCCTGCCTCGAAAGAGTCTTCTTGTTCCATATGCAAGAATGTGGATGGGAGAAATCTCCTGTTGCAGGATGAGACAAGTTCCAGTCACAGCCATCTTCATGATCCCTATGCTCAGAATGAAATGATTGAAAGTGATTCAGATCATCAAGAACATGTTCAATCTTCTGGATTCATGGTCACGAGTAAGCTTATAAAGGGGAAAGATGGCTCTGAGGTGACATTCTCCGGCAACTGTGGAGATCAAGGTACAAGGCCAGATCAAGCTGAGATGAATGCAACTCCCAACTGTTTTGCTAAAAGCATGGATGCTGCTGGGGGTAATCTATCCTTGCCAAATGGGGTTGATGCTGGGCAGAGCTACCCTAGAGTTGAAGAATTTCATTCTGGTCTTGTAATCAATGGTAATCAGGAAACAATTAAGAGAAGTATGTGTAATCAAGACTGTCATCCTTCTAATATGGCCGGGGAAACTGAACCTGCCAATTGTATAGATTCTATGGAGGCAACGTGTTTTGGCGATGGAGTTAATTGTTCAGGATCAGTCGCTCCAGGTATAAATGCAAATAGAGATTCTGTCGAAGACAATTACACTTCTGAGGTTGTATATGGTGGTGCTGTTTGGGACATTTTTCGTAGGCAAGATGTGCCCGATCTAATTAAGTACTTACAGAAGCATCAGAAAGAATTCCGTCACATCGATAATCTTCCTGTGAATTCTGTATGTATCATTACAAGCAATGCCTTCAATAATTCAATACCACTGTGAGTTATATTGTTTTATGTCTTGCTTGCCTCAGGTTATTCACCCCATCCATGACCAGACCCTATATCTTAATGAGAGACATAAAAGACAGCTGAAGGAGGAGTTCAGTAAGTATAACTTGTTTTTAGTGAGGCTATTATACAAAGATGCCACACTAGCTTGTGACCCTTTCAAATTATTTTCAGATGTTGAACCTTGGACATTTGAGCAACACCTTGGTGAAGCCGTTTTCATTCCTGCAGGATGCCCACATCAAGTAAGAAATAGACAGGTGAGGTGTCTGCTGTAATAATTATGCCTACTTATGGGAGTTTGGGAAAGCTAAGAAGATAAAATATTATTTCCCTTTTTCTTTCATTTCTTCAAGATGTGTTTGTGGCTTGCCATCCACTCAGGAAAATATCACGACTTAAAATGCTATATTAATGGTCAGGGTATGCAAATTATTATTGGATTAGTTTATGTGATCCTTTTAGCCCCTTTGGTATATGAAATTCCACTGAAGTTGGTTACCAAAAAAAAAAAAATTCCACTGAAGTTAGAGATCTTTCTTGTCAGAAGATATTCCAGTAATCAATATGCATATATTTTCAGACACTTTGGTCATAATATAATATAAATCTTTTAAGTCAGAAGTCCAGAAAAGGAAAAGTAAATGAAAGACTAAAAATTTTTAGGTTTAGCAAACCTGGCAAACATTGACTCCTTTCTGGCAAGAGATTGAGACAGCCTTCTACCAAGTGGAAAATGAATCAATAAAGCTATTACAGAGAGACATTAGGACTGCTTGAGATAGAGGTTCAAAGGTTTCTGTATTGCATTTTCTCAGGAAGTTTTTGTGATTTTGTTAGATAAGTCACGACCAGATCAGGCCAAATTGTAATTGAAGGCATTGCTTACCTCTGTCTGGGTTTCATACGTATTCTTAGTTTAACACCATCTAATAATCTTTTCCAGTCCTGCATTAAAGTTGCCCTTGACTTTGTATCTCCTGACAACGTTCAACAATGCATTCGGTTGACAGAAGAGTTCCGTCTGCTTCCTAAAGGTCATAGAGCTAAGGAGGACAAACTAGAGGTACATGCTTCTTTTATTCTTCTTTTTGCAACACCCTTGACCTCGGATTTTTACCTTCTAATTGATTGCATTATTGACAATTAAATCTTAGAGGTAGATTTTTTGGTCAAGTGCTCAAGTGCTTTTTATTGTGTATATAAACCAACAATGAGTTTTAACCAAAGATATTTCTTACACTTAACCGACTTTCTTGTTTACAGGTGAAGAAGATGACGCTTTATGCTGTAAGTGCTGCTGTTACTGAAGCTGAAAGTCTGGCTTATAAACTCGAGTAAGATTGGTTCAATCCCTGCCCTCATTACTGTCTGTCAACAATTTCAATTCCCTTGTTAAAGAGTCATGTGTTTGAAAGGTCGATTTTAACATAGGAATCAAATTTCTAGATAAAGTGTATTCCTTACAATAGCAACATCTGCACTTTTATTTACTTTCTAATTTTCATTTTAAAGGCTCCCAGCGATGTTTCAAAAGGTAACCTCTAGAATTAGCTTAGAGGGTATGCATCTTAATCGTCATTAAGGTCATTTAATTTCCATTACAATTATTATTTTCATGATATGGTGCCCAAGTTCTGGTAGCATTGTTACAATGATCGGAGAATCTTACTCAAGTTTTGGTCTTCTTTATTACTGTCATTATTATAGTTTACTCAAATGGTAAGGTTGGAGTTTGTTACATGGCAACAGTTCTCTTCATACATAGAACGCACCGAATCGATGTTTAATTATTCTTAGTCATATTGCAGTTCATCAAAAGGAGACAAGCAAGCCTAGAAGCAGCCATTTTAACAGAAGCTACTGGTGGTAAATTTGTCGCCACCGTGAACAATTACTGGTGATCAGCAGTTTTGGGTTAATTCAGTCCAGGTTATTATTCAACTGTATCTCTTAACTAATGATTTTCTAGGACTCTGATAGAGCTTCTGCTTCTTTGTACAGAGCAGTTTTTTTGTAAATCAGAAGAGTCTAAATATGAGCTTGTTCTATAGCATTTTATTTGTATTATTGACAGAAGGTAATATGCAAGCCCAAGCTCATTAATGATTTTGAAAACCATCTTAATAACATTTCCATTTTTTATTCCTTGCCCTGAAAATTTTGCTAGTTTTTAGCTTACTATAACTTTTGTTTTATGTTTATTTCATGTTAAAAATCAAAATGCCCTTCAGTGTTGTTCAGTTTGAGCTATACAATCAGTTAGTTTTTAGAGCTTTTCTCTGTGTTTGCTCTTGATTTTCTCTCATTTTCTTACATTCCAAACCTATCAAATCCACTGAAATTGATTAAAAAGAAGTGATATTGTTGTTTTTATAATTATGAATAAGAGTAATACTATATATCAAATTTATCATCATTTAAATATTAATGCTACACAATAAGTTTATTTAATTTAATTTGATGGATCATGTACTATTATATAATAATATCATGCAAAATGATTTATCATTTGGGATAAATAAGAAAAAAAAAACTGTTAAGTGATAAGTTGTTATATAATATTGATATTTTAATGATAAAATTAAGTGGTAAATTATATGATAATACCACAAAGTATCACTTAAATAAGAAATTTTGGATAACAATTGAATAGAATGTTCATTTTACTTCATTTGCTGTAGTTTTCATTCTCAATTAGTTTTATAGCAATTTAATAGCTTCCCCTACCATTGATTTCCACAATTCACAATTTTGATTGTGGGAAAATTATCTATTTCCAGATATTTGATTTAGAAAGTAAAATCAAATAGACCCAAATTTCAGCTAACTTACAAGATCTCATAGATATTTTTTTTGATATCATGACTAAGACTACTTGAACAAGCAAGGAATTTGAGATATAAAACAATTTACTACAAATTTAATTTTTCATTAAAAATAAATTAAAAAAAAAAAATCCTAGAAAGGACCAAAGACATCATCCAAATAGATTGTGACTAAAATCTACTTAGGATATTTTAGGTAAATGCCAAGCAGGAGAATATTGGTCTGCAATTAGCCAAGTCACAACGGTGTCGTTTTCCCTAATTACTGTCACAAAATTTATTTTATTACATTCTCAATCTCGAAACATTGAGAACTAATGAAAATAAATAAAAAAACTCCTGTTATCTTATCCAATTACAATAACAGCAGATATTTTTGTTTTATTTTATTTTATTTTATCTTCTTCTCTGCCGTTGAGTGTTGACGGTTGTTTGTTTCTGTTTATTTTCCTCCCACTCTCATGCTCATCTTCAAAATCTAACACCTACCCACTTCGATTCACCTCCAATTCTGTCAAACCCCTCAACAAATTTTCCATGTTTTCTTAACATTATTTTCCCTCGCTTTCCCGGGAATATTTGGTAGATTTAATTTTCCTTCAATTCTGGTTGTCATCTTCAAAATCTAACAGCTGCCCACTTGAATTCACCTACAATTATTTCAAACCCTCAACAAAAATTTCAATTTTTTGAAACCTGAATTTCCGTCTCTTTCCCGGGTAAATTTGTTAAAGTTTAATCCAATGGCTGCTTTAGCAGCAATCAGATCCAAATCCTCCAAGGCAACGGCTTGTTTGACGGTGTCTCAGTACAGGTACTTGATTTTCAATTACATGCACGCTGGCCGCGTGGCCGTGGCCAGTTCTTACTGTACGAACCGTACGAAATACGACGATCACTTCAACAACATGCCTTATCACTTCACTTCATTCAAACCCGTGTCTCTTCGTGGTGAATTGATTGAGAAGGGCTCTAATTTGAACGCGGTTAAAGGGTTTGATAGAAATAGTAGTAGCAGTAGTACTATGATGAACTCGTATGGGGAGCCACCAGAGGTGTGGCAGCCTCCCGGAGATGGAATTACGGTTCGGGGCAGTGGCCTGGGTCAGAATTTGGCCCGTGGAGGCGGAGGCGGGTCTGGTTCGAAGGATGGGTGCTGGGGGGGATCCAATTTGGGGCACAAGTTTCCAACTCCTAAGGAAATCTGTCAGGGGCTTGATAAGTTTGTGATTGGGCAGGAGAGGGCAAAAAAGGTAAATTTGTACGGCTCTGTGTGTGTGTAGTGTTTGTTAATTTGTTTTCGCATTGGTTAGTTGCTGTATTTGAGGTGTTTATTTTCTTTGTTAGAAAGTGTTATGCTTTGGTTTTGTGTGCTAAAGTCTTAAAAAGCAACAAGTGTGGTTAGTGCTAGTGTGCTATTTGCTTATTGAGTTTTTGAGTTTGAATGTAAAGTATTTTGTTTCATTGGGTTTTTTACATGCAAATTGCATGTTTGCATGCCTTTTGATGTAGTTTAAGTAGAGAATCTTGGGACATTTTCATTTTGTGGTGTTTCTTACTTTTGTTTTTTACGTGGCTATGTTAGTTGTAAATGTGGTTTCAATGATTTTGAATCGTCTGGATTTTGAGGAATATAGTGCAGATACTTGTTTTGCTTTATTGCCCTTTTCCAACCGCGGAACGCTTTGATTTCGCATATGGGTAAAAAATGGAAAGATGTTTTCATGTGCTTGTGTTTGTGATCATCTTTGTTGGAAGAGTGTGAAGTGTGGCATCTACATTTTTTGTTCTATGATTATCAGCCCTTGTTTATGATGCACACAACGTCCACATTATGTTGAGTAAAAACGATGTCATTTCTTCTTTTTCTTTAATACTTTTATCTTGAATACAGGTGCTCTCTGTGGCGGTTTACAATCACTATATGAGAATTTATAATGAGTCTTTGCAAAAACGGTTAGCTCTATACCCTCAACGCATACTCACTTGTTTTATTCTATTTTCTGTTTTCATTGCTTATTCTTATGTTGGGAAGTATGGAAGCTGGGTAATTCATCTGAAATACTTATAGAACACCTTTGAAAAAAGAAAAGAAAAGAAAAGAAGATAAATAGTTAAGGGCAATTCACTGCATTGCATGACTATAGATGTGGCCAATATCTTAGAAATTGAAGTCACACCAGGAAACCCAGTGTGGGTTAGGTTAACAATATTATGATTGAGAGAGCATGTATATAAAGCATATGATACTCAAACTTATAAAGGAAAGAAATATAACAACCCCTTTTAGCCTTTTTCAGCGTGCATAATAAATATTAAATATTAAACCTTATATTAGGTATGCATTATGTTACAATTACTAATGTCTTATTGTTGTTATGGTCAAAACTTGTATATTTCTGGGTAGATACAAGTGTTACTACATTTTTTGCGTGCATGCATGTTCCTGTGAGTTGCTTTTTCTTGCTTTGGTCATGTTCTTTGAGAGGAAGCTCAATTGTTAACATGCTTACAATCACTTGGGAAGTTAGGCCAGCCGGAGATTCTAGTAGCTACGTAGTAGAGACAGCAGATGACGATAATGTGGAACTGGAGAAAAGTAACATTCTGGTAATGGGGCCAACAGGCTCAGGTAATTTGTTGTTATCCTTGTTTTGACCATGTAGAGTGTACTTGTATATTTTTCAGTTAACTTCACTATTTTGAATCATCTGCAAGTTTGGACCATACCTCCTGATTCTAGAATTGCTGTATCTTATTCTAGAGGGATGAGTAATAGTTACTACTTCCTTGTCATGGGTTGCATACACCTTTTTCTCTCCTTTAGATGTATTACTTGTGGATTGCAGCTATCAGTGTTGGTGTATTTTGAATGCTTTACCAGTGCTATTGGTCCTTTGATACATTAGTTTCTCTACATTGTTGAATAGATACGTTTTTTTTTCTTGGGGGTGGTGAAAACCCTTATTCAACTTCTTCCTAATTTCTATTTATCTTTTTTCCTGCTCTATTAGCACAAGCAGCAATGTATCTAAGGAGTGTTTGTGAGAGCAGGACCGTTCTGAATTTACTATTCTAGAGCCTGCTTTTTTATTATGACCCGCATTAATCTTTGCGAATTTAATTGCTCTAAACTTTTGCTTGTCAACTTTTTTTTTCCTCAAAATTTTGTTGGGGCTTTTTTTCCCTTGAATTATATTGTGGCCCACTTTTTGCAGCCAAATTTTAACTGTGAAATAATCCAACATAGAATTTATGTTTAATTGATTATCACCATGCCACTGTCCGTTACTGGTCTCACTTGTTCTCTACTGATGTTGTTTCAAGGACAGGGAAGACTTTACTTGCCAAAACCTTGGCACGGTTTGTGAATGTTCCCTTTGTTATTGCAGATGCAACTACTTTGACACAGGCAAGTTGTATACTCTTTTTGTGTTTTACCTTTTTCTTCCTTTTTATTTTGTTTTTTTTTTATGATTGTTTTTTCCTCTTTGGGCATTTTTGCTAAAATTTGAAATAGTCATGCAATATTTAAAGTCCTGCTCTCTTGAGAAGAGTAGCATTCAAGGATTTGAGGAAAATTAGTTTTGGTTTTCAGTATCTTAATTCTTCAGGGAAGTGTAATTTAATACCTAACTTGCATCTATGTTTAGCTCTGTATCATTTGAGTCTTACAATTATTTGCTGTCGGGTGCTTTGCTTGATTCTTCTGGTTGGGTGAATATCTACAGCAAAAGAGCATTCACATTGGTAGTAGTGATATATGAGAAATGATGAATTTGTTTTATTCAAAAGCTCCTCATATTTTAGAAACCTTCCCCCACTTCTTCTGTTCTGGGTGGAATATGATTTCAGTTCAAAAAATAAAACATACTGTTGATGAAGAAAACAGACTTTATGGAAGTGGTTCAGGTAGCTCTGTTGGTTATAGCAAAGCTCTATCCTTTGTGTTACTGGTTATTTAGATTTTCTTTCAGTTATAGTATGATATTTGAGCTTTGGTTTATGCCAGAATTTAGTTCCCTGCCTTCTCTCTCACTCTCTCTCTCGGAGAATGTGTACATATGCATATTGGAGCACTCATACGTGCAGATACCATGTTTTACTTTCTATAAATGTATTTTTTTTTGGCATCTTTAGTTATATCAATAGCAAGTGATGCATATGCTTATGAAGATATTATTATTCTGCTCTTTATTTAATATTTGGTTGCTATGCTTGGGTTGGAAGTTCCACAAAATTTGTGACTGGGACTCATTTTGTTGTGGCAATTGTATGTTTTGTGCAGGCAGGATATGTTGGGGAAGATGTGGAGTCCATATTATACAAGCTCCTCACGGTAACTTTTAGAAACACAATTTATTACATACAACAATTAGAAATGTAGTGCGATTTGTTTAAGTGAATGTTACCTATGGTAACATGCGTCCAACCTTGCATCTTATCATAATTTATGATTTCACCATTGATATTTTTACCAAGTGAAATTTTTCTATAAAGTGCTCGCTTAATAGTTTTATGGTGTAAACTGTCTGGTGTTGTGATTTTAGGCATCCATGAGAGTGAAAGTTCAGTTTCTTGTAGATAGATCTAGTCACAGAGCGATGGAACTGTTGATCATTTTTTTAAAGGAGACAATGTCATTGTTTGTATGTTCACTTTGGTGCTTTCACTGCATAGGCAACCAGAATTTTGTAATCTTTTGAAGTCAAATGTCATTCTGAACTGAAATTGAATAAAAATTTAAAAAGGTTCTAAATTAATGTGGTGCATCCTCAGCTCAATAACATGGATTAGTTATGAGCTTATGGTATGACACCTCTGTGTCGAATGATACCAAGAAGAGGTATGGTCATGTTAGTTAATAAAATTAGTTATAGGTAAATGTAACTTTATTTAATATATTGTGTTTGTTTCATTGATTGTCATAGTTAAGAAGCGATATAAGGATTTATTTATTTATTTAATTGATTGTGTTTATATTAATTAAGTTGTTTTACTTGTGAATTGCATACTCTTAATTTGGTAGGACACAATAGGAGATAAGTGATATTAAAATTGAATGAGAGTTGTTAAGAAAAGTAGAGACAAGGAAGGTTTTAGTTGTAAAATGTCATAAGTAAATTTACTTGCCCAACCAAGTAATGCCATGTGGCAAACCTTATTTAGATAAAGCAAAAGGAAAAGAAGTAGAATAATGTTGTCTTCAAGAAGAAGCTTTTTTGGGTTAAATCCCAAAAACAAAACCATGAGGGTTGTGTGCCAAAACAGAGATATCATGCTTTGTGAACAAGGATCAGTACATTTAGTCTATTTTGTTCTTCATTTGCCTTTGTTGCTGTCATCTCAATGGTTCTCTGTTAGGCTTAGAAGAAATGTGGGTGCCGCAATATAACCTTATATATCAAAAGGAGAATCTTTACTGCTTGCGGTTGATTTCTGTTGGAGTCGTTTGGTTTTATCCAAATCTCTTAGATATGTAAAAGGGAGATAAAATTATTATTAGGTGGGCCTTGATGTGGTAATATTTAGGTTCGCATATGGAAGTTGATTTTGGTGAAGCCATCATACCTCTGGTACCTTTATTAGATAGACATGAAGTCTTTTGTGTTTTGGAAATTTGTTTGGAAGTGCAGTTTTCTTTCTACGTATAACGTGTAATGGAAATCTGATCTAAAGTTGTTCCTTATATTACAAATCTCAGGTTGCTGATTATAATGTTGCAGCTGCTCAGCAGGGCATTGTTTATATTGATGAAGTTGACAAGATCACCAAAAAGGTTCTCCTCACTTCTTCATATTCAAAACATTTTTGTTTGAACACTTCTTTATATATTTATTTAATTTTATACTCCCTACATGTTTTGCTTATTTATTTTGCAGGCTGAGAGCCTTAATATCAGTAGAGATGTGTCTGGAGAGGGTGTTCAACAAGCTTTACTAAAAATGCTGGAAGGAACAGTAAGTGACTTTATTTACATAAAATCAGACAAATTGCTTTATCATTCTCTTTCTTTATGATTTAGTCTATCAACTTGGACTGAGTCTCTTTACAATTCTTGGTACTTTTTTCTTAAAATCAATTAGTCTTGTTCTATTTTCAATTTCCCGGGTATTTTCAAAATTAACAGGTTTTTGAGTCCTATTTCCATTACAGCCTTAGGACAAGTCTTACACATTTTAATCTCTAGATGTAATGGATTTCCAACACTTGGTCATAGTTGAGTAAACCAACTTTGTTGATTTATTTATATTCTGATATGGAGTTTTTTATTATCTAGGTTGTCAATGTTCCTGAGAAAGGAGCTCGAAAGCATCCTAGAGGTGACAACATTCAGGTAAATGTGATGTGGTTTGGGACAACACTTCATGCTTTTATTCTTATTTAAGATGATAGAAATATGTTTGTGATACAAGGCATAGTGTAAACCATATTCGTTCATATTTGTTAAAACATCTCTCACTCAAGCGTTGGCCTTTTCTGCAGATTGACACAAAGGATATACTTTTCATATGTGGGGGCGCCTTTATTGACATAGAGAAAACAATATCAGAAAGGTTATACCAATACAGAAGCTACAATATCAAAGCTCTTCTGATATGTGTAATATTGGTTTATTTTATTTTATTGTAAATTGAAAGTGTACCCATTATAGGCGTCAAGATTCATCTATCGGATTTGGTGCCCCAGTACGGGCTAACATGAGGGCTAGCGGTGTTACAGATGCTGCTGTAGCTTCAACTTTGATGGAGACTGTAAGTGCACATACTAGTCTTAAATTAACAATTAACAGCTTTTTGGCTTTATTATTGCAAGCAGCATTTCAGAAACTCACTTTTCATAAGAACTCTCATGTTTGCAGGTAGAAAGTAGTGATCTCATTGCATATGGTCTGATACCAGAATTTGTTGGACGATTTCCTGTTCTTGTTAGCTTGTTGGCGCTAACAGAAAATCAACTTGTTCAGGTACTATCTTGCTGTTTCTTTAACAAAAAAATAATTGGCTGATGAACTTATCAATTTCAGGCATTTCCTCAGGTTGTTAGTTCTCTTTTAAATGAAAAATAGGATTGAATTTCTATAATTATTTAATACATTATGATAAACTAAAGGTGGACCTCTGGCACTTGAATTGAGATGTACTTATTTTTTATTGATAACATCTTAATTGAGTTTCTTATAAAAAACTTGAAAAGATATAAAGAAATGATGAAAACTCGGACATGCACCTTGCCTATAATAACTTGTATTGCTTTCTCAAATCCGCTGCTAAAACATTTTGATTGATGTGGTATGAAATCTTTGAGTGATTCCTTGTTGCTCCAGACTTCCAATGCAAATGCATATGGTGGAAATATATGATTGGTGTCATTCTTACCTTTTACAAGTTCACTATTGTTACATTAGCTTCCTATATGACTCCTTTTTGGTATTGATATGTGTAGGTCCTGACAGAGCCAAAGAATGCCCTCGGGAAGCAATACAAAAAGATGTTCCAAATGAACGGTGTAAGTTCTTTTCTGGGGCACCTATTTATTCCTAGATGGTTCATTTCCTTTCACAATGTTTATGATTTTTTAGTACTTTTTTCCATTTTCATGTGAGAATAGGAATCAATTGGTTTTCTCTAAGCCACCTTATATGCTACTGTTTTCTTAAAGCATGATTCCTTTTTAGTCTCTCTGATGTCACTTCGGTATTGCTTTTCAGGTCAAGCTGCATTTCACAGAAAGTGCATTGAGATTAATTGCTAAAAAGGCAATAAGCAAGAATACGGGAGCTCGGGGGTTAAGATCACTATTAGAAAGCATATTGATGGATGCCATGTATGAGGTATGTCATTTTACCTCTAGGATTAGAGCTCGCTGAAAAAGTTGCCAAAAAGTTGAATATATGTTTTTAACCGACCAGTTTTCAAATTTTTTTTTTTTTGACAAATCTCTTTGAAATCTTTCTCTTTATCTAAGATTTCGGCTGTGTCGGAGGGAAATTCAGTAGGTTACTGCTTTTACTATCTATTTGCAGATTCCTGATGTTAGGAGAGGAGACGATGTAATAGATGCTGTCGTAGTCGACGAAGAGGCTGTAGGATCAGAGGAACGCGGTTGTGGAGCTAAGATTCTTTACGGTAAGGGCGCATTGGATCGTTATCTTTCTCAAAACAAAAGGAAGGACTTAGAGGTGTGTATCTAACTATCTATCGCCCCCTCAAACAATATCTTTTTTTTCATCAGGTTTCTGTTTTGAGCTGATTATTCATAATGTTTCACATTGTGTTTTGCAGAAAAGTGTGGAGGGTACAACAGATGGAGAGGGCGAAGTGGATAGTGAGATTCCATCAATTGTTGCCAGCATGTGATAATGTTATGTTTTTATAGATGTTTTAGCTGTAACTCAATCTCTCTGTGTACATAATAAATTTAGTAAATTAATTTGTGCAATTATATTTATATATACAAATCTACAATTCATCGAAATTCTGTATTCATCATATTACCCTCCTTGGTGGCCAAAATTGAATTATAGTTATGTTATTATTTATTGGCAGAGTTTTAATGATTTCAACTTTCTTTTCAGATTTAATTGAATAATAAAAAAAATCTCCTTTCAGAGATAATAAAAGTTTTTGTTGTTAGGAAACCAGTGAGTTTATTTTATTATGAATTGATGAATATGCATTAAATTGACTTTTTGTTGTTTATTTTAACATTTAAAATGCTGCATCGATAAGGAAAGTTTATTGTTCATCGTTATTATCTTATTGGGATTTTTGTTATTCATTACTGGTTTTTTTCTTAGGTTAAATAAAATATCTAAATTATTCTCGAGATTTTATAAATAACATAAATTCTTTTACCATGAATGAGTCATTAGTGTATTTCTCGAATTTACAAGATGATGGGTTAGGCGAAATTACCTAATTGTTCTAATGTAGTTTATTTTTAACGCAAAAACTTTAATAATGAGGATTTATGTTATTATTATAATTATAGTGGAATTTTTATTATTAATAATACTATCTAAAAGAAGTTATTGTTATTAACCCTTCATTTAAACTTAAATTGATAATATTATCATTTTTTTTTTTTGGTTAACAATTTGGTAACAATAGACTTTTTAACATAACAATAAAATAACAACCCAGAAAAATTAAAATTAAAATAACAATAAAATAAATAGGTAAGACTAAAGTTTCAACGTAGACTTTTTAACATGAAAAATGCTAGCCTTATTCATTTTTTAACATGAAAAATGTTAGTTTTATTCACTCCCTCTACTCACTTCTCTTATTTACCTTTATTAAAATGACATATGATACCTGTACTATGCTTATGGTACTTGTACTATGCTTTATATTTACAAAGGTGAGTAAGAGAAGTGAGTAGGGGAAGTGAGTAAAGCTAGCATTACTCTTTTAACATCACTCAATGTTACGTGCTTTTGTTGTCAAATATTAAAATTAAAATTAAAATATTTGGATTTTATATTTTCAAATTTTGAGATATGTGATCGTTTCTTTATTTACTATTTGAAAAATGAAAACAATAAAAAAAAAGTTTCTTATTATTATTATGTGATAAATATGAAGTCCATGTTTGTTAATGCTTAATTTTGACACCAACAACCTCGCACGTGCAAAATACTAAGTAGGTCTTAGAAATTATACGTGATTAACTATAAGAATTGATTATAGTGCTGACATGATATATGTTTAAAGAAACATAAATAAAAGACTCACAAAAGAGATTTTTGTAGTGATTCGAATGCTTAAAGCCAATCTTACATCCACTTTTATTTTATTATTCTCTGACTATTTTTCTTATATAAGACGTACAAAAATGGAGAAATATTTTGTTTATAGAGAAAAAAATAATAAAGCTCAAAAGAATGTTTAGTTCTCATATGCCCAGCCAGCCCCTTCATGAAAAGAGGTGCCCTTTTATACACTTTTGAGCTTAACGTAATAAGTGCTTTTGCAAGTTGCTTTGACACATAGAGAGCTCTTATTCATCTTGATCTTTTATTTTTATAAAAGGTGGGACATGTATTATATAATATTTCTTTGAGACGGTTTGGGTTTTAACAGCTAATACACTTTGTCTTTTAGGCAGTGTTGACCTCATTGTGATTTTTTAGGCGTAACAGAATCCCCCCAAGTTTTTGGAGTGCGTAATTGCACGTAAAAAACTCAGGTCTTTGATTTGAATGGCTACCACACCATAGGCTGCAGTCTCGAATTGAAAAGCTCGAACTATGCCTAGCGTGATAGAGTGTTGAGAACTAGGACTGCAATCTGAGAGATTGGAGTGATCTGAAGCTGATCACGATCTAATAATTGATATAAAATGTCTAGTAGATGAATTCCTGGAGAAAGCTAAGTGTCAGAAGCCAAAACGCACGGTTCAAAGGTCCTAAACGAACATGCCAACTTAAAACAACCATAACTTTTGATCCAGGAGGAGTTTTGGTCCGTAAGATATCCACGGAAAGCTCATTCTAAGGTCTACTTCGTGGCAATTAGGAAACCCGATTAGCACCATTTTTAGGGCCAAAACCATTGTCTCAGCATGTTTTGGGGCTGTTTTGAGTTTTCTACACATTTTTTCTGACGCTGGCAACTGGTCATAATCTGAGAACTAAGAACTGAGAACTGATCGCAATCTGAGAGCTAAGAACACGATCTGAGGCTGTTTGCAATCTCAAAGCTAAGAGCTGATCACGATTTGAGAGCTAGGAGCTGATCGCGATCTGATAAAGGCTCGATCCAAGAGCTTGAGGAGTGCGATCTGAACGATCTAAGGTATGCGATCTGAACAATCTGATGCCCACGATCTAAGCAATCTGAAGCGCGCAATCTGAGAGTTTAATGAGCTCGATCAGAGAGCATAAGGAGTTCAATCAGAGAGTATAAGGAGTTTGATCAGAAAGCATAAAGAGTTTGATCAGAAAGAGCGAAACTTGATTTGAGAACACAAGGAGTTCGATCAAAAAAGGCGGAGTTTGATTTGAGAACACAAAGAGTTCGATCAGAAAACGCAGAGCTTGATCAAAGAACACAAGGAGTTCGATTAGAAAGCGTTGAGCTTGATCTAAGAACACAAGGAGTTTGATCAGAAGTGCGGAGCTTGATCTAAGAACACAAGGAGTTCAGTTAGAAAGTGTAGAGCTTGATTTGTGAACACAAGGAGTTCGATCAGAAAGTGTGGAGTTTGATCTGAGAACACAAGGAGTTTGGTCAGAAAGCGTGAAGCTTGATCTGAGAACACAAGAAGTTCAATCAGAAAGCATGAAGCTTGATCTGAGAACTGAGATTAGCGATCTGAGTGCTCGGAAGTATGAACTAGGTGCTCGGAAGCACGACCTGGCTGCTTGAAAGTGCGATTTGGGTGCTCGAAAGCACAATTTCGCTGCTCAGGAGCATGATTTGAGTGCTCAAAAGCATGATATGGCCGCTTGGGAGTTCGATCTAAGTGCAATCTGAGTGCATGAGAACGCGATCTGAGTGCTCAGAAGCACGATCTGGCCGCTTAGGAGTGCGATCTGAGTGCTCAAAAGCATGATCTGACCTCTCGGGAGTGTGATCTGAATGCTTAGAAGCATGATCTAGATGATCTAAACTCATGATCTCAAGAGCTTGGGAGCTCGATAGCTTGGGAGCTAGAGAGCTTGGGGGCTCATTCTGATCTGAGAGCTCTGATGCTTGTGATCCGAGAGATCTGGCCATACGATCTGAGAACTCTGGTGCATGTGATTTGGGAGATCTAGCCACGCGATCTGAAAGCTTTGATACGTGCAATCTAGGTGATCTGGCCACGCAATCAGAGAGTTCTTATGTGCGGGATCTGGCCACACGATTTGAGAGCTCTGATGCTTGCGATCTGGGCGATCTAGCCACGTGATCTGAGCCCTGATGTGTGTGATCTAGCCACGTGATCTGAGCTCTGATGCATGTGATCTGGCCACACGATTTGAGAGCTTTGATTAGTGCGATCTAGGCGATCTGGCCACGTGATCTGAGAGCTGTGATCTAAGAATAAACTCTAGTATTTTGACGATAACTTGAGTTGTAGACCTTGGATTTTGATGATTCTTGGACCATCGGAAAACTTACTCGAAGGGTTACAATTCTCATGTACCACTTTGCCAAATTCAAACTTTATCTAGAAAAATATTGAGAGCTGATGTGAATCATGCCCTTCCTCTAGCGTCAAACTGTTGATGCTTGATTTACACCAACAACCGCACACGTGCAAAGTGCTAAGCAGGTCTTAGAAATTACACATGATTGATTATGAGAGTTGATTAGGGTGCTGAGGTGATATATATCTGAAGAAACATAAATAAAAGACTGACAAGAGGGATGTTTATAGTGGTTCGGATGCTTAAAGTGGATCTTACATCCGTTGTTATTTTATTATTCTCTTTTCTGATATTGCCTATAAGGCGTACAAAAATAGAGAAATGCTTTGTTTATAGAGAAAAAATAATAAAGCTCAAACGTATGCCTAGCTCTCATATGCCCAACCCGCCCATTTTTCATGAAGAGAAGTGTCCATTTATATACCATTGAGCTCAACGTAATGAGTGTTTTTACAAGTTGCCTTGACACATGGAGAGTGAAAGTTGGAATACATGGAGAATGATACATGTGATACTATAATATGTATATTAGTATTTTGCAAAAAAATTCAATTAAATTGAAAATAAGTAAGGTATAGCTTGTTACCTTTAGTCCTTAGCAACCTTGGAGACTTTTAATTTCAAGAAAAATTAAACAAAAGAGTATCTACACCAAGGTAAAAGAAGAATTAGGCCAAGAGAGATATTTAAGGTTCTTAGAATTTTTTTATCTCTACACTAAAACTGATATATCTTTTTCTTTATATGTGTAGCCTTGTAAACAATTCAATAATTATTTTGGACTTCCTTAAACAATTCCATAATTATTTTTGGAGTTGTAAATAATTTCATAATTATTATGAAGTTATTAAACTTCTTTAAATAATAACATTGGATTAACATGTTGTAAAACCCCTCCCTAGTCAGGTACCCTTTGAATATCCCTTAATGAGAATCCAGAGAATTCATGTCTGGGGAACGAGTTGTATTTAGAAAACCTATGCAAGGATAATGATAATGTCCAAAACATTACTATAAGATGTACCACAGGATCAAAATTTGTGCCTTCAAAAATAAAATAAAAATAAAAATTTGAATTCATTTGGGCATCAATCAATCAAAACGTATTAATGTCATTTTCATTCATATGGTGAAAGCTTTAAAAAGGTGTTTAAAAAACATTTGTCATTTAAATTATTTACATCAAGATAAAACGTCAGGATGACAATAAATTATCTCTTCTCACGCATAGCCTTGCTGTCTCTAGCATCATTCGCTTTTGGATTACCTATAAAACATTCAACCATGAAAGGGTGAGTGCTAATCGCTCAGTAAGGAATGATCCATTTAATACCAAGTATGTTATTTGACATTCATTCAAACACATTCATTCACATACCACACCTCTTTTGCATCTAAGT